ATTTTCTAGAAACAGATGTCCCGCTAGAATGCCCAAAGCAATTTCCTGATCAGAACAACGACCCCCGGCCCAAGAGTGAATTGTGGCCAGGAGCTGTGGAGGGCCTGTGCGCACACGGAAATCTGAGGCTGATATGCAGAAACCTTGTTTCCAACTCCCCAGACTAGTTTCGTGGCACATTCAAAGCCCCAGTGCAATCATTCAGGTTTTTGCTTAGGTCTCTCAAGCCTTACACCTCCACAGACTCTTGCAGACCAAGCCTAGGTATTAGGTCTTGGGATTATGACTTCTTTCACTTGTCCTGCTACCTCAAACTTGTAGTGCCGAAATTGTCCTGAATGATCTTTTTATCTGAATCTGAGAAATCATTTTTTTGAACATAGCTCAGGTCAGGCCGGATTTGATGCATAGACTGTAGCGGCATTTTGGCTCAGAGAATACATGGATGAAGGGCAGATTAGGCAAGGCCTGTCATGAAGGAGTGCTGGAAGCTTTCCGTGTTTAGCGATTGCTGGATCTGGAGTGAACTTCGGGATGGATTGATTTTTAGATTTATCTTGCTTCTTGCCGGCCATGTCCTGTTGCCTGCCGCGCAGCTCCGCCGCTCAAGCGGAGCTTGATGCCAATCCTTTGTCTGATGCCGCTGGCGTCGCTCGGGAAGCACTTGAAGTTAAGAGACTTCCGATCGTAGACCACTCATGATTAGCCTTCCATCCTATGCTTAAAGCCCTGCACTCTTAGACCGGGAGTTGCAACTTACGTGTCCAAGGGGGATACTTTGAAGAAGGGCGCTAAACTCGAAGCCCCTAAGTCCTTGGATTCGGAAATGGCCTTCAGCAGGACAATTCAATTCCGCAACTGCCGATCATATGTCATAAGCACAGAAGGCCCAACCCCAAGTCCCAAAAAGTGTCGCCCGAACACTGATGGCAGCAGCGGTGATGAGTTTAAATCTGGCCACGCATAGGAACCTGTGACCTACATCGTAATTATGTTCCTCGGGTATTTGTAATGCAGGATTCATGGATGCTGACGGACAACAACCCATCAAATTGGTAACTGCTGGGGACAAACAAGTGGCATAAGATGTTGTTGTGGGGCTGTTTGCTCGGGGGGCTTGCCCGAGGCTGCGCCGATGCTTTTCCCAATATACACAGTTGCCGCGGAGGCGCGCGCGGTATTAAGGTTGAGGGTTTGGGCTTGCAGCAAGACTTCCCATAGACTAGTGCGCACTGAGGGTTCAGGTTTTTGGGGTTGGGGAAGAGTGAGCCCCTAGGATTTCGGAGTTCTAGGCCTTTGCATCCCTGGATGCTTGTGATCCCAGCCTTTTGACATGTGAATGGCCTACAAACACTACAGGGGGCCTACACTACACAGTGTCCATGTTATAGTCTAGGGGAGCTTACGTCCTGGTACAAGCAGGAAGCAGATTAGTTACTCATGCTGACTCATGCTTACAAATTGAGAATATGAGACTTGATTTCTAGAGTCCTGCAGTCATGCATATGGCGGTTGCTCAAATTACTTGTTCTTCCCAAAATTGTCAGTAAGTAAATTCCCTTTTTGATTAGGATCTCCTTTCGAGGAAGTGTAGCCCCAATGGTCCCTACCTCAGAAGGACCTTTAGAACAACCCCCACATGAAGCTCCACACAGTTTTGTCTGTAGCCCATACCCCCTTCAAGTCCTAAACACCCTAAAGCCCTAAAACCCTAAACCCTATAAACCCTGAAACCCTAAACCCTAAACCCTCAATATTTGCCATCCCTACGAGGCTCTCCAACCCAGCGCATGTAGCTGCATACACCCCAGGTGTAAGCCCCACATGTTAGTCTCCAAAAATGGGGGACCCAAATATAGACACCAATATGTTAAATGCTTATTCTCAAGACCTCAAAAAAGGACGGCTAATTTTGGGAGACGCTAAAGCCTAAGTCCCATTTCTCCTAGGGTTTAGGGTATTACAGGGTTACATAGGGGTTATATGGGGGGTTAAATGGAAAAGGGAATAGACACTACCATACCAAATTCGCCCTATGTCCCTCTCTTTTCGGTACCCATGAGGGGCTTTATATGGATTATGTATTTTGAGTGACTCCTACAGATGTTCCGTGGAAGGTGCTGCTGAAAATGACGGAGATCCGCCCGCATGAGGAGCTCAAGGCCAGGGTCCTCCACCTGCTTTCCCCTAGGGTTTATAAAGGTGTATTTCCCCCAGCCAAAGGGGGTATATAGGGGAATATAGTAGAATGGAAAATGGAAACTACACTGTACTTCAGGGTACAGGCGTGGATTTCACTGCTTCGGAGAATTGGAGAGGCACAAGAATGTCGAGGAGTTAGCCGGCTGATTCAGCAGAACAGTTTTTGGTTTCGAATATTTGGGGCTCAGTGAGTTTCGGGGTTCAGTTGTGTGTTGGCCTTTTCCTTTCAGGTTTGGCCTATGGTTTGTTTTGCCTATGGCTCTTTCTGGATACATCTTTTGCGGCGTTCTGTGTAGGACCTTTGACACACTTAGCTGCTTTTGCTTCGTGGCGTGGAGGCGCTGGCCGACAGTCAAGGACAGCGATTGGTGTTTGTAACTCTGGTGTGGTGTAAGCTTCACCCGTTGCTCTGGGGATTGACATAAGGCCGTGCAAGTCAAACCCACGCGGATGAGATCTTCACATAAGTAGGATATAAGCTGGGGAAATAGTAATATAGAGTAGATCAAACAAGCAGGTTGGTTGTTTTTTTGATGCCTGCTGATGCTTCTCAATGTTTTGGGCAGCAACTCCGCGCTTTGGAGGGATGTACTCGTAGGTGGGATGTAAGGGGGATGCTAGGAGGATGCCGGAGTGTTTAGGGAAGATGCAAATCCTTGCAGCTCCCCGCCCACCCAGCCTGCCGGCCAGCAAAACCTAGCCAAGGTGTATTCCCAGATGCATCTCAGCTCAACGCAGACTGAACATGGAATCTGTGTTCTAAAGCGTGCTCGGTTACATCTGCAAGACCTAGCACACAAATTTTCGCTAAGGTGAAACATTGCCCCTCCTGCTACGTGAGCGACATCCACCTTTTGAAAAACAAGTCCTTGCTTGGGTAAAGGATGTGCCACGACGATCGGGGCAGCCAAAAAGAAACATTTCGGGACTTGCACATCGACATAGTCGCGTGCAATAGATCGGGCGCTGTATTATAACGCGTAACTCCTGACGTATGACTTACACTTGTTCCGTGGTGGCCAGCCAAGCGCTGTGAAGTCACTCTCTCATGAGTCTTGTGATGCAGGTTCGGGGCGACCTCGTCATCTTCGACATCGACAAGGGAAACGCTCTTTTCGTTTCACACCAGTGGGTCGCCGAACAACATCCTGATCCTGAATTTAGGCAGATGAGCATATTGCAGAATGTCTTACGACATCTCATGACAAGCTTAGGTTCTGTGCCTCTGGACCACATAACAGAGACACTCGTTCCCCGGGCCAAGCCCCTTCCGATGCACGTTTTCCAGTCTAGCCCCTTATTCATATGGTACGATTATTTTTCATGCCCACAGCTGCAGATGCACGACGCCCGCACGATGGATGATTCGGACGGCACCCAGCAAGACAGGTGCATCAGCAGCATTCCAGCCTATGTGGAGACGTGTCGGTTTTTTGTTGCTCTTTGCCCTGCCATTGACAGTCCCACGGAAGACAAAGTCTTCAGTGCCAGAACATGGAGCTGTCGCGGTTGGTGCAGAATGGAGAGAGCCGTGCGCGAATTGTCCCTGCACGACACCTGGATCCTAGTTCAAAGTTCTGCGTCCATGGAGCTGGTCGGCACTGCTTTGTCATTTCCCACCGACTCTGTTGGGGAGGGCGAGTTCACTGTAGCAGCCGATCGAGATAAACTCGCGCCAATACTGCAACAGCTGTTGCGGAGGAAGCTGCGGTTGTGCTTGCAGAAGCGGGAACTACCTGCGTACCGCCGCCTGCTAAACCTACAAACAGTGCACCTCCGGGGGCTGGCGGCTGAGCATATAAAGGACCTTGTGCCCGGCTTTCCTGCAAGTGCTGTGAATGCCCACGGCGCCGCAGCGGAATCCTTCCTCCACCAGAACATGCTGACCACGGTGGGCGGCGTTGACAATGCAGGGTGGCGGCCGTTGCACTACGCAGCACTCTCTGGAAGCGTGGACGTGGTGGAAGGGCTGCTTCGGCTTCGGGCCAATCCCAACCAGCGAACCTCGAAAGATGTGC